AACACAAGTGAGTGTTATTTTCCGGAATGAATATACAAACGTTTGGATCAAGGTGAAGATCTAGGAATACAAATTGAGGAAGATGGGGATGCGAAAATTATAAGGAAACTAACAATTGTGGGACTTTGTTGCATAAAATGGTACCCAATGGACCAACCATCGATGAAAGTTGTGTTACAAATGTTGGAAGGAGATGGAGACACACTAACAGTCCCTTACAGTTGTAACAACCCCGACCTATGATTAACGTTAATCCATACTTAATTATGCCTAACAAATAATTAAAGTGAAATGTTGCATCATATGTTGCCTTATATGTGTTTATATCTGTGTAACGTAGAAAGATCTGTCAGGTTTCCGTTTCGGTTTGTGAATTGAAGGCCTTATCGGCATCCGATTCAGAAATTGACTTGATTTATGTGTTAACTAGAATTTTTAGAATTTTATGGTATATTTAATTGAAATTCGATTCGGAACGATTAAATTAGATTAATTTAATGGCTCATTTGATTAGTCTTAATTAACTATCATTAGGCAAGCCTATATAAGGCTTCTTAAGTGCTCCCACTCATTCTTTTCTTCCACTCCAACACATCTTGAGCTCACACACACACACACAAACGTGTAGAGAGTGTAGGGAGAGAGAGAGAGACTAGGGAGAAGTCTTCAAGCAAGGAATTTGCTAGAGAATTGAAGAATTGAGCAAGAACTCACTAGGATCCAAGGAGTTGAGAATCTAAGGTATGAAATCAAGCCTTTAGTTGTGTAATTAGGGTGCTTAACTCATGCATTCAAAAAGAATTAAGTGAGTTAGGACAAGAATTTAGCTTAATGAAGTAAAAAAGAAATGTATATACACATGCACGTGTATTACATTGCATTTAGAGCATGTTGTCTAAGAATTTGCCCCATGCATATCCATATTTTAGTTGTAGTCTAAGAATTCACCATGTTTTTTAGTAGAATATCTCATTTGATCATGTTTTGGAAGTTATGAACTCATATAAGCACATGCATGACATGTTCACATCATGTTCTTATATTTCAAGTTGTCTAATTGACTTGCTTTTGAGCCTTGATTTCATGAAATGAACTTCAATTCTTTGTGTTTTCCAAGGTTGGACATGTTTTCTCAAGTTTTGAAGGACAAAGGTTGAGTTTAATGGCTTTGAATTTGAGTTTTGAGCTTGGGAGCAAATCTGGAAATTCCAGAATTTTGCTCCTATGCTCGAGCGACCACTCTAAGTGCGTTCACTTCTGCTCGAGCGACCAGAAGTCTGCTCGAGCATGAAATGCAAGCTCCTAGAAGTTCTTATGTTTTACAGTTCGCTCGAGCGACAAAAGTTGCGCTCGAGTGAGGTCATGTCTCTCACCCTCAAGCGAGCGTCGAGCGAGCATCGAGTGAAAAAAATAAAGCCACCAGCACTTTTGCAAAAGTTTGCAGACCGCTCAAGCGACAGATCTTGCGCTCGAGCGACCACTCACGTTTTGCATGTCCGCTCGAGCGTAGGAAGTTACGCTCGAGAGAGGACCCTATTTTCAGCAATTTTTGTTAAGTGTTTTCAAATGCATTTTTGCATCCTCATTGCATCCTAGGCATTCCTAGGCTAAGATTAAGACATCATATAGGCTTGCATCCTAGGCACACCGAAACAAGAAAGAACCAAGTTAATGATTCCAAGTGTGTAATTTAGTACATATTCGTTTTGTACTTGTGTAGGTCACGTGCCGCAAGAAATCTAAATTGCCTACTCTGTCCGTTTACTTGGAGGTATCTATTATCTGTGAGTAATAACTTAGTAAAGCTATGTTCAACTTCACTTATTTTCCGTATAAGGAATAAGATTTGTTCTATGAAATGTTATGTTAGTACTATGAATGATTGTCTAACTTTGATAAATATTTGTGGCATTAATACTGTGATTCAAGTATGCTATCTGTACCTGGACTGGAGGTTCCTTGTGGAACTGACAAGTTATCTGCACCCGACTAGAGGTTCCTTTATGGAACTGACAAGTTATTCGTTCCTAGTCCGGAGGTTCCTTGACAGAACTGTCAAGTTATCCGTACCCGGCCTGAGGTTCCTCTATGGAACTAACAAGTATGATCTATGATACTCTGTTTGTGACCTGTTAGCGCTAACGAATGAACTATGTATGATTAAGCATGAATTCTGATTTTTGTATATGAATTGAATAAGAATACGAACATGAATCTATTCTATGTACAAGCTTAGTCATGGGACATCATTCATTTAAGCTTTTACTTTGTTATTATTCATTTGGCTCCCGCTCACTATTTATATTATGTATGTAGGTGATCAAGCACATGACTAGGCTTAGAGTTAAGGACCTGGCGTCTCGGTTTTTGTCAGCCAACCTTTGTGCCTCCCGAGGAGGTTTCGGATTAGGTCAAGTCTAGTGGCCGTGTTATTGTGAATGTATAAGACTTTGTTCCTTTTGCTCCACGAACAAGTTTTTCTGTTTTTATGTACATGAAGTAACGTGTAAATAATGTATCTTTTGACATCACTCGTATGTTTATAAAAGTTTAAGATTTTCTGTCCCATATATGTCTTCACAGCTCGATGGACTATGTATGTTTTATGTATTTGCTTCTGCAGCCCCTAACTATACATTATTATGTTAAGAGGCCTTTGGTAATCCAATGATTACTGGCCGGTTACGACGCTAAACCTATAGGGACGGGTTTGGGTCATGACAACAGTCTATTTGCCTCCACAAATCCAATGCCAACGAGGGGAACAATGGGTCGGAGAACTTTTAATAGTGAGTCAGAAGTAATTTCTGAATCTGAATGAAAGAATGAATTAGTAATATTTTTCTAAGTTGTTGACTATATAATAGGAACCAATCTTATTGTTCTTACCAATGAGTGTATAATATTGTTTATCAATGTATTACTATGGCCCTTCAATATTACATCTTGTGCATAACCTTCGTATTAATAGTCATCTTACAATGGTGCACTTTATCAGAAAGATTTATGTTTTCATATCAAAGTAGTATCAAAATGCATATCACCAATGGCCAATCTACAATAACTCTAAAGAATGATTCAATCGTGGGTAGTGTTTGGGTGTGCAATGCACCTTAATTCGAAACCTTTGGATTACTTAAATTTGATCTCAACCATTGAATTATTTAATGGTGGAAAATAGGCAACCGGGGTAACTGGTTAATCATCCACCTTTAGTTCTCCTCAGCCTCTCACTCTTTCATCTCTCACTCCGTTGCTGCTCTCACTCCAGTGTTGGAAGAGTTGCTTAGCGACCACCGCAACCATTAATAGTAGGGTTAAAGCTTTCAGTTTTCAAGAACAAGTGTGTTAATGAAAGGGGCGGTGTACACAAAGGATGAAGGAAAGCTTCAGAAAAGGATTGCTGAGTTCTTAGTGTTGTGGGAGAACATTTGAGGGGAACATTCGGGGTGAACACATGCACCACAGCTTCTACGACCCCAACGCCACTGCCTCCTTTGTTGAGATCTACACCATGTGAGAGGTGATCCCTTTTACATGTGAAAACCAACGTAGCAAGTCAAGGAGGACGATTGCTAACAGACAAGCCATTTAGATGGACGACCACCAAAAGTGAAGGAATAATTGGCCATGTGCAAGGCTAGCCAAGCTCTCTACCATTCTCTATCATTGTGTACAAATATAGAGAGTTGCGAGCAGAGTTTGTAGAGTGTGAAGCAAAAAGAGAGTTGTGTGTATGCGAGCTGTGAGTTGAGTTGAGAGAGTGAGAAACATTTCCTCCTTTGTTTTGTTCATAGTGAAGCTTTCTCTCTTCCTCTCCGGTGAATGTAAGCATTGGGTCGAACTACGTAAATATTTGTGTCTCTTGTGTCTGTAGTAATTGTGTGTTGATTGATTTCTGGGTGTGCATAATCCCAACATGTGGTATTAAAGCCAAGGTGAGCGAGTTTCAAAATGAAACTAAAATTTCCGAGTTGCTCAAAATCACATGTTCAGCACATCAGGAGGACTTTCTCGATGAGAGGTGTGACAACCCCAACCCGCCCCGAGAGGTTAGAGTTGTGACCGACCAGTAATCATAGATTACCTATGGTCTCAAAGACAAAATTTCAAAATATTTAAATAATATCAGGATCTGAAGCGGAAACAAAACAAAAATAATATTGTTTATTGAGCTATGCATACATGATAAATTGAAATACTTAAAACATTTCATAACACACTTTTAATATATACACAAATGCATATCTTATACATTCCAGATCATACATATAAGACTTGACAAAATATAAAACTTAAAAAGGTTGACAAAAACACAAACTAAAGCCTCAACACGAAGGCACATCTTCGGATGGCTTAACAAAACGCCGAACTCCAAAGAAAACTATATTACCGATCTTCTTAATGCTTATCTACATATATATAAAGGAGAGGGGTGAGCTAAAACCCAGTGAGTAATGCCAAAATAAAGAGATTAATAAATGAAGTCCAATATCTCATAAAACATAACTTTCAATTTCCAAAACATTTCAAATAGTCAATCATATCACCAAAACATTTCATATAACCAATCATATCAATCATTTGTGTTAACAATAACCATTCAAATCATTATACGTGGTAACATCCGATAAAGTAATAATATATCAATACGTCGAAGCCAAAAGAACCACAATGGATTAATCAATAAAACCACAATGGATAATTCAATGTAGATCATTAGGGTCTAACATTAGAAATCTCTGTGTTTCAATTAATCCATAGGCCATGGTATTACGTCCCACAGGCAAGGACCTCCCTAAAGAATGCCATGAATACATTTTCAAAAAAGACATTCTGTAACGACCCCAAAATCCGTATTAGAGATTACCTTTACGGCCTATTGGGTTAATGCATTTTGATTTATTGATATGTGTTCAAATTGAGGAATTATTTGTTGAGCCACGACTGTAAAATTGAAATTACCGACCTTTACGGGTTTAGAAATCAAAATTGAGGACTTGGATGTGTTAATGAAAATTTTTAGAACTATTTGGGAAACATAATTGGAAATCTAATTTGCCTGATTTGTTAATGTGCGTTTGGGTGATTAACTTTGTACTGCAAATTGAAGGCCTTAGAGGCTTCAGAAACCAGAATATGGGACATATTTATGATCATCATAATTTTTAGAGTCATCTGGAAAGTTTAATTGAAATTTAATTTTTCGCGATTCGTAAGGGCGTGTTTGGCCCTCCTTATTTGTGATAAAGCTTGTATAATTAAATATATAGGTGTGTATGAGTTATATAAGTGGTGAACTCATACTTTTGGAGTCAAAAAACAAAATATCTAAAGAGAGAGAGAGGAAACCGTGAAAGGGAGAGAGGGAAGAGTGTCAATTTTCCCAACATCCATGGAGGCCTTGAAGATGATGGAAGAGAATTGAAGGAAAAGAAAGAAGATCACCCATGGGACTTGGAGGAATTGAAGAGAGCTAAGAGGTAGACAAAGATTGAGTTAGGTATGAAAATCTATCTTGAAATCTTGTGTTTAAAGTATCAATTTGGTAAAATCATAGAGATCTTGGAAGATTTAAACCCATTTGGGGTTAAGGTTTATCTATGTATTTACTTGAGCTAATTTGAGGAAATAGAAATTGAGTTCTTTAATTTTGTTTATGAGTGGAGCTCAAGCTCATGGATATCATGAAATAAACTTTAGATTATGCAAGAATCATGTGAATTTGTGGGTTGTGGGTTGTGTTTTTAAGAACCTTGAAGATCATGAAAGATTAAGCATTAATCTTGAACTTTGAGACAAAGATTGAATTGTTTGAAATGAAATTACACTTGGTTGATGTTAGTTTATCATGTTATAGGGCAATTCTACATGTTTTTGAGTGATTTATGTTAAGAACCAAGCTTAAAAATGGAAAAATCAAGTGTTGGAGCAAAAAGAGCCATTTTCGGACTACACACTGCCCAGAGCCGCACGTGCGGCCCTGTTTCCCGCACGTGCGGGAGACAGCTTTGTCCCGCCATCTTTGAATAAGCATATCTTTTTCCTCGGGGCTCCGTTTTGAGTGATTCTTGAGCCTAAAATCAAGCCCCGGAAGTCTAGTTTCCAATGGAAGTGGTCTCACTCCGAAATTCTAAATACAAAAATAGTTATGCCCAAATTAGTGACGACTGTTCACTTTCTGTCAACTAATTTTATACCATTTCTTCGCCTAAACCATTTTCCATTGATTTCTCCTGTTTCTGTGACATGGAGTATAACTTATTAAGAAATAATGAGCTTGGTACCGCCATGGCTAATTGATTGAATGATCAAAGAGAATAAGTAAATGAGCGAGTATAATCTCATATTATGTGTTGTGCACTGTACTTGTAGGTCGAGACGAGGATATCGTCCTATTACCACCGGGAACCGATCACTGTGAGTAGTAGTTCTGCAATCGTACGTTTACTTACCGTGAATAATTCTTATTGTTAACACACTGTTCTTTGTAGGCATTTATGTTGTTTAGGGATCGGTGAGAACATTGAAAGATTATGTGCACTTCGGTATGACGCTGAAACTACTCTACATTCTGGTTATGGTTAATGGTTATCCTTAATGTATAATAACCTGTAAAATTACCTATAACTCCGCACAAGAATTATTAATATTATGCAACTGGTTGGCAAGAAGGGATTATGAATATAAGCCCCGCTTAATGGGAACATGATATTTTGAACGTCCTATCCTGGACTCCTACAGCCTTATTTAGTTCGATACATGTTTTATGACATAGACATCTGCCTAGAATGGATTAACGAAATGAAAATCGAACAGAACCATGGGTTGCCTTATACATCAAAGAATTGAATATCAATAACATTCTTATATGACTCACGTTATGGTGTGAATTGTTCTATCCCCATGAATAGTACTGTAACGACACGTGTTTCTGTAAATAATTATTATTAATGCTTTGTTATACGTAAGATGACTATGGCTAATGAATCGTAAAGGGAAATTTATGTGCACCATTGTGAACGGTATTTGTATGAACCTGGCATTATTATGTTATGTTTATTCACTTCGTTGATGCTATGACATAATATGAATTGTTCAGTCTTCAAAAACTATTGATTCCTAGTACGAAACTAAGTGCTGCAATGCGAACCACCTCTTGAGTCCATACATACAAGAACTGGGCTTAAAGCCAATTTGGTCCCTTTATGGGTCACCCGGTTATGTGAAATTATGAAAGATATAATTTGTGAAGATATGAAAGGAATAACTTGTGAACTTATGAAAGATATAATTTGTGAAGATACGAAAGGAATAACTTGTGAACTTATGAAAGATATAATCTGTGAAGATATGAAAGGAATAACTTGTGAACTTAAGAAAGATACAATTTGTGATGATATGAAAGGAATAACTTGTGAACTTAAGAAAGATACAATTTGTGATGATATGAAAGGAATAACTTGTGAACTTAAGAAAGATACAATTTGTGATGATATGAAAGGAATAACTTGTGAACTTAAGAAAGATACAATTTGTGATGATATGAAAGGAATAACTTGTGAACTTAAGAAAGATACAATTTGTGATGATATGAAAGGAATAACTTGTGAACTTATGAAAGATATAAATTGTGAAGATATGAAAGGTATAATTTGTGAACTTATGAGGCCGAGGGCCACTTTGTGAATTTGTGAACTTTTGAGGCCGAGGGCCAACTTGTGAATTCTGAAATTATGAGGCCGAGGGCCAACTTGTGAAGTATGAATCTGTAACTTGTGAAACTATGAATCACAAAGGCCGAGGGCCAATTTGTGAAGTTATGCATCTAAGTTAAGCCAAGGGCTAATTTGTGAATGTGTGAACCCATCAGACCAAGGGCCAACCTATGAAGTTATGAACCGACAAGACTGTCCTGAAATGTGTACAGAATCAGACTAACCACAGGATTTTTGCATTTACTTATCTAATTAGAGAAATGTGTACATTGTAAGTAAATTAAGTTAATCTTTAAATTGTTTATGTACTACTGTTCACTGAGCTTGACTCACTTTGCCTTATGTCTGTTTCTGTAGGCACTCCACCTGGAGGTCAGTTTTAACCCATGGCATCCGTGCCTCTTTTGTCAACCTCAGAGTATCCAGGCACTTAAGTGAAGGCAGCCCTTTTTGCTAAACTTTTGATTTTACACTCTGATTGTTTGCTTAAGGTTGATGTATATATAATTCCTTTGCCTGTCCATGTTGTTTTACGCCCAATTCTAAGGGCTGGGTCTGTATATATATATGTACATAACTAACTCTCTGGTGCACGTCACTGTATGTTTATTTGCCTTATGTTCTGTCTGTGATCCTGGCATGATAGTGGTCGCTCAATGGATGCAGTTCTTTTATTTATGTTAATTTATATTGGTAAATGCTTCCGTTCAGGCCCCATATGTTATGTATACCAGGTTATGCGTCCGTTTCTGTGTATGTCATGCCCAAACTTTTAGGGGCAAGTTTGGGGCGTGACACATTCATTCATAGATACAAAATAAGATTTCATAAACTTCACAATTGAACAATTTCAAAATACATTTAGAACATATCTTTATAGAGATATTACTCACAGTGGGCTTATGTGAATGCTAGTCCTTGATGGTCCAACCTGCACATTTCACAATCAAACATACATAATAGATTACAATCAATAGAACATATTCTATCCTTTTTAACCATTACTTCATTTTTCCTAACCAATTAACTTTCCTTGATTTTTATCATAATTAACTTACTAATTTCATTATTGTTTTCCTTTCTAAACCCATTGACTTATGTTGATTTTTAATGTAATAATCCTTAATGAGACTTTGTTTATGCATAAAGATGATTGGAAAATGAAAACAAAAGAAAATATGAATAAAAAGATACATTTAAATATATTCTAAAACAGACACTACAAGAAATAACACTTTTAGTGACCATTTTGGTCGCAGAAAGATCATATCTAGTCACTGATGGTTTTAGCAACCAAAAAACGTTTTTCGCAATTTAATTGCTTGAAGTCCATCACAGAAGGCTTTTAGCAACCAAAACTGAAGTTGGTCGCGAAAAGTAAGCAATTGCAACCATATACTATGGTTGCGGAAATGATTCAATTTCTTGAAAATTGTTCATTTTGTGACAAAAAATCTAGTCCCTGAAAGATAACAATTGCGACCACCGATTTTAGTCGTTGAAAAGTGATTTTTGGTAACCAAACTTAGCTTGGTCGCGGAAAGTTGTCATTTAGCGACGACATATTTTGGTCATGAAAAGTCGATCACAACAACTATTCCTGCAAGCTTCTCACAGATGTATTGAGACTAAAATTTTATTGGTCGCAAAAGAGCTTTCAATTTTAAACATCATTTTTGTCAATGTAATGCTAATTGTTTTTGTAATACCTGGAATACATTTGCAATTAATGCATAATTCATATCCATCAAATTAATTTCAACATACCAAATCTATCAACAATCCAATCTACAAACAAAAAACCATCGAAAGGAGTCAAAATAGTAATTAATCATAGTAATTAATCTATCTAATTACTTCCACCTGTTAACATGAATACATTAGTATTTGACAAAATAACCATCTATCCATCCATTTAGTTTACAAAATAACCATCCATTCATCCATTTAGTTTACAATGAATTCACCACATCAAAAACATATTTAACAAAACCGTGAGAGATTTCAAAAACCATTCATATCCAAGTGCGTGTCATATTTGTCTGATGCGAAATATATCAAAAACTCCACGTACAAGCACAACTTAGAATTAATGCACCAGCAAACTCATGTCCATAAACACGCATGACTACACCTTTAGCTACTTGCAAAAAAAAAAAATAAGAAAAAAAAAAAGGAAGAAAGGGTGACTTTCCTGCAATAATTTAAAAGATGATATTCAAAAAAAAAAAAAAAATTAAAAATTAAAAATTAAAAAAAAATTAAATAGAGAAAGTACTCAATTAATAAACAATTATTCTGTTATTTGGATAAATTATAACTTAAGTACATAAATATTCCACAAACATTCTTGACCAAGAGCTTGAAAAACTGTCAAAGTGAGCCACTGTCAATGACTCAAATCCATAAATACAGGATTTTGAAAAAGACATTTCTTTTAATTGATCCATCAGTGGAGAGGGTAGACAATAACGTGATTCGAAACTGCAGATTAATACTTCAAGAATATTTGGCTTATCATTCAAACCTCTCTTTATTTCACATCGACCCCAGTTTTGTAAAAGCAATAACTTATATCCAGAAGAACTTGATACAAAATGCCCATGATCAAAATTAAATTTCATTCAAAAAAAAAATGCTGGTTTATTTGAAAACCAGATTGTGACAAATTTTGTCACATGGGTACGGACAGTCGTTGGCCTTGATGCCTGCTCGATCAAAATACCAATCTCCAACAGCTAGTGCAATTAAATCTCATCTTAGATAGTTCACAACTCTTTCTTCTTTACGAGGCAACAAAACTAATGAAAAACAATAAATATTTGGTCATTTATAGCACATGTTTTATAAAATTTAAGAGATTATCAGCATAGCATTGACTTCTTCAACGTTGTGCCAAATTATCGCTTTCCAAGCTACTGAGATTTATTATGAAAGTAGGATTGTATCTTCTCCGCATTAAGGATTTCTAAAATCATGTTATCTTACCTACAGTTGTGTTCTTGAATTACTTTAAGTCAATTGAGGTAATAAGGCATTAAATCTTTAATTTGGCAACTTGTATTCTATTCAATGTCTTAATATCAAATATTAAGGGGAAAAGAATCACACACCGTCAATGACTGAATGCCTAGTTACGCTAATGGGGTATAAACCTCAAAAAACAATATTTGTTGAGTTAATTTGAATAGCTATATATACATGATGGGCTGCAAATTCACAACGATATTCAATAGAACTATATTATAGTCACCATGTACCCAAAAAGACCAAAAACAATATTATAATCACCAAATCATAAGAGTACCTTATTGCTAATGAGAGGAGAATTATCAGCAAACCATGTATCCTGCCTCTCTGTCTGGCAGTGAGCAAAATAAAGATGACGCTACAAGCAACCCACCGGCAACATGGAATGCCTGACTCAACAACAACTTCAGGTGATAAAAGAGTAGTCTTCTCACCCAAGAGTCTAAGAGAAGCTGGAAATTGGAGGGAAAAAAAACTAGACTTGGGTTACAAAATGCGAAGGTAATAATGTCCTACAAAATTCACATTGATGGAAGCCGTATTCTATAAAAACAAGGACGAATGGAATGGTGAAGTTGACAAACAATCATACATCAAACAACCTTGTCAACTGACGTGAGAATAGTAAATTATAAGAGTAACAACAATTTCCATCACAAGAAAATGCAAATTTATACAAAATTATCAACCATCTCAAGACAAAAGTAGGAACCCAGAATGTCATAAGCCTACTAGGCAACCCCATATTCTGGTTACCTTTTCACAATCATCAATTTTTATCAAGCTCATGCAATTTAATAGGCCCCCAAATGTTTGCCATTGCTTCAGTATGGTTGCAGATACAACAAAGAGAAGACACTATTTGGGAAATGAAAGCAAATGCAATTCATGTGTCAACTGTCATACACGCAAAAAAATAAATAAATAAATAAATAAACTTCTATTGATTACAGAATGGGTAGAAAAAAGTTTTGATACCAAATAAACATGTGAGCTCAAAATGATCATAATATGAAGAAAAGGAGGTCAAAAATATAAGCAAAAGGTGTTTGGAAGGCTTCAAAACTCTTGAGAACAAAAGAAAAGGGGCTTCTGCAGTGGATGATTCCAAACAACTAACAAAAACCACCCAGGTGGCCACACGTTCTTCTAACAAAATCCAACCCAGTTTTCAAACCCATTTCAAAACTTGAATCCCATTTAGGCTATCGAAACTCATATAAAAAATGACAACTTTTTGAGTTTCTGGATTCACATCCATAAGCATGGTGTCTGTCAGATTTTTTTTTTTTTTTTTAAATATGAAAAAAAAAAGGAGAAACAAGGGGGGAAAAAGCTCTCTACCTAAGAATTTTATATAAATAATAAAAAAAAAAATCAAAACCCCCAACTAGAAATCGTTGAATCAAATGCCCTAAATCAAAACCCCCAACCAGAAATCGTTGAATTGAAATCCAAATAGTTTAATCAAATGCCCTAATTTAAGAAGGGAAGGGTTTCAGAAAAGGAAAGAAACATACTCTAGGTTTAGAACCTTACCAAAATTGCAGATCTTTCCCAAGCCAATGAGTTTCGAAGGGTTGTAAGGGAAATGAAGAGCACCGTCTATAGCGAAGAGGGTGGGTCTCTATTAGGGAAGACCTCCGGCCGGAGAGAGAGGTGAGACGGCTCCGTTTGCTTCGTTCGCGGGTCTTCGTTGACCGGAGGGAGAAGCGAAGACGAACGGGGCTGCGAAGGAGGTAACTCCGAAGGACTGCTTGAGCGACGCAATGGCCGTCACAAGCGAAGCAATGGCTGTTGCTCCGAAGGACTACTCTTCCCTCCGTCTCTCTTCATGGTCTCTTCTTCGTCTTCCCTCTCTATCTCTCTTGAGCCCAGGGAGAGTGGAAGGGATTGTGAGGGGAATTATCCCTCTCTATCTCTATTGAATTAGGGAGAATGTGCCTGTTTGGCAGAAATTATTTACAGCTTATTTTAGCTTTCAGCTTAATTTAAGCTATTTTGATGTGTTTGGTTTAGCTTATAGCTTATAGCTTATAGCTTATAGCTTTGTGGAAGTTAGAAATCAGCTTATTTTTTGAGTGGGGCAGGAGATGCTTTAAGAATAAGTTGGAAATCAGCTTAATCTGAAAGTTATAAGCTATAAGCTGTTTAGGCATAAGCTATAAGCACTTTCCCACAGCTCTACCAAACAGGGCTAATGAAAGGGATTTGAGAGGATTAATAGGGAAAAGATTGATAGTAAAGAGATTAAAGTTAGGTTTGGCATAACTTATATAATTATTTTTTTATTTTTTTATTTTTTTTTATCATATTATTTTTTTATTTTTTTCCCATCTTTTCGTAAAAAGATAAAAAGTGTACTTTTTTAAGATATCCCAAACCAATCTTAAAAGATTGATAGTAAAGAGACTATGAATTAAGGAGCATGAAAGGGATTTATTATGAGAGGATTAATAGGGAGAGGATTGATAGTAAAGAGATTAAGTAAAATTGTATTTGTTTGAATTGTTAAATTATTTTCGTATAAAATAATAAAATAAATAAAAAAATATAAAAAATTAAACATTAATATTTTAAAAAAAATTCTTAATATATAAAAAATAAAAAAAAAA